ATGTGTCCTATATTTAGCCTGTGCAAGGTGTGCATACATACATAAATGTACATGATGTCTCTTTCCATTGCTTTGCGGAGGATGTATCTTTTTACCCAACAGATACTGATGAGTCAGTCAACTAGTTCACCACTCCAGACTGAAACATCTTGACAATACCAAATTGATTCCCATTGAAATAATGACCAATAAGTCTGTTGCTTCATCTACAGTTAGGGTCAAAACATGAGAATTTAAACATCCATGTTCCCTGCAGGCTCAACTTAACTTAATGTTGTTAATCATGTCACTTTTCACCTAAATAATTCCCACATAGTTGGAAAATTGCATCTCTGATGAATGGACTACATCCACAGTAACTCTGATGGTTCACTGGGAATGCCAGTGGATGTATAGATACACTGTTTGCCAAAGCTTGTATTATTTTTGAGGATGGGTCATTTTGCTACTTGTGTGCTGTTTTTCCATAAAGGGCTACAAAGCAAGAATTACAAGCTACCTTCATCATCTTTCAACAAATGGGACAGACATTATGAGCTGATACATCCACCTTGTCTGCTCTGCAGTCTGAAGCTCTGACACCAGTGGTCACCTTACTCTCTTAATATCTGTCATCATCATAGTTGTCACAAAAGACTTATGGCATCTCATACAACTCATACAAACACAGTACTTATGGAAGTAAGATGCAGCATTTTACCCTTTTTTTCCCAGTATGACTGACATCTGCAGTTCTAGCGCATTGAATGCAAAATGGCTGATGATTTAGGATTTGTATTATTAAATAAAGATAGGCATGAAAAAAGCTGTAATTTCTCTTTAACTGTACAAATATTCTCTCTAATAACAACATCATGTACATCACCGTACATTTTGATTAGTTTTTGGGAAAAACTGTATTACTGGCACTGGCAGCCATACTATTCTTTGTTTATATATATTGATTATTTTGATTCTTAGTACATGAGAAAAAATCCCTGAAACAGAGAGACCTCTGTACATAACATACAACCAAACAAATCCTGATGGTAGCAGGTTAATACTGAGAGGCACTTTTTGTCTCAGTACAAGAGACCACCTGCCTCACTGCTGTGATATTAATCGCCAACTGATGCAATTTAACTTCTCTGGGAGCTGCTTAAGCTTTCAGTTGCCAAGCAATACTGAGATAGCTGAGTGCTGCTTAAAGAGACAGGAGCTTTAGACCAGGAGCTACACGCTTTTGTTCAAACACTATGTTTCCATCACTGTGCTTTAGAATTTCAGAGGGCATTGGCTACTCACCAGCATATCATGGATGAACTGTGACCAATGACTGAAGCTTTGGAACAATGTATAAAAAGTAGAAGATACATTTTCTTTAAAGCATGTACACTGCCTGAGCACAAGTCCTAATCAGCAGAGGTGTGATTTAAGATGCAGCTTAGAGCATCAACACAGCTTCCAATGGCCCAGTAGTTAATGACTTTAATCTTCCTAATTCTTTCTCTGGTGTTTGAAGTTTAGTAAACACAGCCTGAAGATGTCTTAAGAACTGAAGCTATATTTGGCCCCAAAGACATTGTGATGATTTAATTATTTAAGAGCTGACCTGTGGGTGAATGAGGGACGGGCCAGAGGGGGACAGGAAAGTATTTAGCCTTCACTCAGCCTGGCTCCTTAAACTAAACATAGTCTGCATATTTTAAATGACAAAATGTGCTACAGGAGAAAATGTATTAACATAGATTTTACTTGAGGCTGCTCTGATGGTCCAACAAATATAGGGTACTTTTGAAAACAGCTCAAACACCCTTACATAACAAATACTTCTAGTTTAGTCCCTGGACTTAACTACTTAAACACTTTTATGAGATAATTTGTCTCTATCAGTGTTTTGACGTATTTGAGACTTAAAGGTAAAGTGTGTAAGATTTAGGTGAAATCGATCTATTGGCAGAAATTGAATATAAAATAATCTTAGTGATGTTTTCACCAGTGTGTTTGATCTAAATTGTACAAATTGTTGTTTTCTTTACCATAGAATGGACCCTTTATATTTAAATAATTATATTTTAAATTGGGAGGGGGTCCTCTCTACGGAGAACGCCAGGATTTTCTTCAATAACCCAGACTTGACAAATTGTGTTGTTGCTTGTGTCTTTCATATTTCAGCATTTTCTAAAGTCAAAGGTCTGAAGTGAATTATTCAGATTCCATTACAGATTTCCTCTCATAATGAACCACATTAAAACAGAATTAATATTCCTGAATAGGCATTGTGCAGTGTTTTTTGTTCTTAGCTTTGACCTCAACTCTAACCCTCATGAAGAGGGGTGTGTGATAGCTTCAAAGGTTTTCTTGGACTTGTCACTTGCCCCCACTTAAGGGGTGTTGGCTTTAACACTGGTAAACAATCAAAATCAAATTGGTAGTGAAAGTGAATACATAAAGGTTCCACAAACCAAAAGTGCAGGTACCCCAAAGAGAAAACGTATTTACACGTTTCACTGGATTCGATGTCAAAGGCAGACATTAAAGTACAGAGCACAAAGAAATGTTGTAACTGTGAAGTACACTTACTTTGTCGACCCTCACAGGACAGAACTTTTACATCAGCTGCAGTGGGATCAGTTCACACAACCACAAGCTTTGGTAAACGCAACCGATTTCTTGTCACAAAAGATGAAATGTTGATTACATTCAGTTCATTCAGTGGTTAAATTGAAGCCCAGAATTAGAATCATGATTCTTCGTGATTCTTCTCTTTTACTTGCATGGATTTTGGGCCTGAAATTTTTAGTCTGACTTTTCCTCCCCTACAGGCTCCCCTTTGCTCTCACTCAGACTTAAAGGTTCAGAGTGAAGAATTTAGTGACATCTAGAGGTGAACTTAAATATTGCAGCTGGATATCCCTCATCTGACCCTCCCCTTCCCAACATGAAAGAGAACCTGTGGTGAACTCAAAAGGTTTTAGTTTGTCCAGTTTTGACAACTGTAAAAAACATGGCGGCCTCCACAGAGAGAACCCCCCGCCCTGTAAATATAAAGTATTTAAATATAAGGGCCCCTTCTATGGTAAAGAAAACCACAATTCATACAATTTAGATGAAACACACCAGTGACAACATCACTAGGATTTATTTTATATTCAATTTCTGCCAAAAATCCTTTTCAACTAAATCTTAAGCACAGGACCTATAAGTGTAAGCATTATTCCACACCTTGTCTCCTTCAGTGTCACTATCATTTGCACAGACATTTCACTGCATGGTGTGAAGGAGGCGTGGTGATTTTGATAAGAGTGGGTAGAAAGGTTAAAGGAGTAATGTCTTACTCCTCACTGGAGAGATGTGAAACATTCATCACCAGGGTCAAAATGCCTGTAGCACTGTTTGAGCTGTGGATGTTAGTACTGCTGGTGGAGGCAGCAGACAGAAATATAGCCAATACTGAAAGAGGCATCTCGCTTTCAGACAGAGGGTTTAACCGAGGATCCTGCCAGCAGCACCTTAATGGAATGATATTATGGTGATGATCAATGATATTTTACAGCATCCATGCATAGAATAGGTCACAACGTTTTAGGTGAGATTTGGACAGTTGAAATTATAATATTGTGTTCGCTTATGAAATTAAAATTATTGATAAACTCAACATATAATCGTTATAGACGATCAGTTCACCTGGAACAAATAGGGAAATGACACCATAAAATACACGTAACAAACACTGGATGCAGGTGTAGCTCCAATTATTCAGCAGCACTTCGGTGAACTTGTTACTAAACCGAGATGAATTCAGTGCAACAACGTGTAAGCACTGTGATCTGCCTTAAGCAACACGTCCACACTTTCTGTCGTGACTTGGGAGGAAATAATGACAAAGAACGGAATGAGAGTGGGGCGCGCGGCGGGCCGTCAAACAGCAGCGCCTACCTCTCGTTTGACGCTCCATAATAATTTCTCTTTGTATTCTTCCTCCGTGGAGCCCTCCATGTCTGTCCGTGCGTCCGCCCGCGCTGTGCACGACGCAGGTCTGTCTCTGAGGCAGCCTCGGTCCGCTCTCTTCGGCCTTATCACACCCTCCTTCCCTTTTTTTTTTTTTTTGGTACTCCGTCTTTCCTCCTTCCTTCGCTCCGTTGGACTCTGACGCAGCCGAGCAGCCTGGCGACTACGTCAGAGGATCCGCCTTCCTCACGGTTTTGATCAATGGAAGAGGGAAGGAAATCAGTGGCGTCTGAGCATCCAGGCCCGCCCCAACCTGCAGCCTCTCAGCATCCGTCACAGCAACCTGTAGAGCCTGCTAGTTATTTATAGCCGCTGCTGTTTCCTCCAGTGCACAGCAGAGGACAGATGGATTTTTTTTTATATTTGGAAAAGGCAATATGACACATTATATAGAAGTATTTTCACTGTCTTTCAAATTACCATTATCCACTTTGTCACATACATGTATATAAGCATATGCACCGTGAAGTAGGCATGACTCAGTTCACAACCTTCAGTCTCCACTTAATGGAGTACATATTAATTCATAACTTGTAGGTTTGATATTTTCACACATCTATATGATACACCCATAGACACATGTACCATCTTAATTACTTGTATGTGTCGCTACTTCAATCAGTATACAGCTTTTACATTTCACCTTATTTCATATGCTCATCACACCCATTGTTAATAACTCAACTATAAAATAGATGTTTTTTTCACTAAGGTTTATATCCCATCCTGACAGCTCTCTTGTGAATAGATGAAGGACTCAACTGGAGGAAACATCAAGTGCATCCGATGAGCTCATTCAAATGCTTAATGACTTCATTCACAAGCTCTGCACCATCTCACGCAGAGGGTTGTACAGATGATCCCTCCTGAAGCTCTCGTCAAGCACTCTTCATTCTCAGTACTGATGTCAGGTTGAGCCTGCTGCAATGTAAATGACGTCAGGGCAATATTATATGCAGGAACCTCTGCTGGAGTCCTGCCTGTTCCACCATGTGGACTGAGGGTGCACTTGCAACCATCAGGAACTTATCTGTTGAGTTGGTATTTCTGCAAACCACAATTTGTTGGCAGGACGGTCGTCTTTCATTCTTTGATTTCTGCTATAGTCCAAGTCTTTTAGCTAATTCCTTTGGGCTACTGTACAACTTGAAGAGCAGTGCTTCTCGACCTTGGTGTGACCCTCCTGACAAGATCCACTGAGTCGATTCTTTCGTTT